CCAGCGTGTCGCTCCACTGTTCGTTCCAGAGGCGGTGAACCTGGGCTTTGAGATAGGGGTCCCTCGTGATCTACCACCGCCTGCTCAGCCGGATCTTCAGGCGTATTTCATCCTGAATACTAGCGGACAGGGGCGGCCGCCAGTCCACGCGAGGTCGAATCTTGGGAGCAGGCGCATGCCCACAGTTTACGTATACGTGAATTTTTGTGTTGTTTTATTTAACCACAAGTAGGGGCCTAGAGATGACTTTAGTTCGGTTGGGAACATGCGATTTAATACTCTATTACTCAACGTTACGTTCTGGATCGAAGTAATCCTTTGAGAAAGTGGTCTGAGGAGGAAGGATCTACAATCGAACTGTGGGACCAGCTCCAGAGACAATCGGCCATTCAGTAGACGAAAGGAGCTCACCACGCAGTTACTACTCGCGTTGAAAATATTAGTATTAATAAGTCAGTTTAGCAGTGTGCATTCTCCTGCCTTGCAGTCAATTTTTTGGTCAATTCTTTCTTTCCGTGTAGTTACAGGCCCACCCCTGCTGGAACAGTGCCAAAATTTCTTCGTTCCTTCAGGGGATTCTGAGCTCTGAGTGTTGTGTTGTTGTCAGTTGTGACTTGGCTGTTTATTGTCGTGTAAGGTAAAGTGAATTTGCGATTCGATCCTTTGTCGCTGTGAATCAGTCGTTTCATTGTGTTGGGTTTTAATTCTCTGCAAATCCAGAACGAATTAATGTTTTTGCTGCTTTCGATCTTGAGTAAGTGTTTGCTTTGAATTGAATTCATATGAAGATGTGTACAGGGAAGTGAGCTGAGTTCAACCAAACAAAATTACTTTCAACTTTCAGAGAAATACAGATGCTAATACAGTGATTTGAATCAACTTTCAAGTTAACAAGGCGAAACTTTTCGTTCATTGGGTGTAGTAATTTATTTTGTCGCAAATTTAGCTGTACTGTGAAATATTAAGTACAGCCAAAAACGTCTGGGATGGAGGTTATGGAAATTTATTGATTTATTTATATTTGTTCAGTATGATCAGTCCTTTAATGATGAGACTTTGAGATATTAATAGTTTATTTAACATAAGTTTAGTTTGGCAACAGACCCCGCTCCAGGTAATGAAGTTATTTGGTTATTTAATTAACAATGGTGCCAGCAATAATCGTTGTCATTATGAAAATGAAGTAAAAATGTTGCACACTGATTAATCAGCGTGTTACAACTGTACGTCTTGCTGTCATTTCACTATTACCTGACGGTCATTGTAGACAAAGTACGTTGTAACAAAACGCAGACCCCGATTCAGCGGTTTTGGTCGTTGCGTTTTGTGAATTGGAACCTCGGAGCAAGTCACTTACCAGAAGTTTTCTGGAAGGGATGGCAGCAGGCCGCGTACAGTACACTCCTAATAAAATATCACCGAGGTATGTAACAGAGGAAAGATGATTTCACTACAATACACATCACTAGAAAATTAACACTGCAGAGTGTTAGATAATTTTATCTTCTTCACAACTCTTCTGTCCTCTTCCAATTCTTCCACTCCTGACAGACCTTCGCTTTTTGACGTATCACTCGATTCATCACTGCTGCCGCTGCTGTCCACTCCATTATCTTCAATTATAATGCGTTCAATAGCGTCTTCAATTACGCCTTCTTGCTCATAATAAATTTGTTCTAGATTTTCAACATATTTTCGTATATAGAATATAAAGCTATTTGTGTCTTATGAGTGACTCTCAAATATTGATAGAAAATGAAGAGATTCTTTGTTCTTTGATTAACATTAACAAAATACGGAGCAACCAGTGAAATTGTGCTAGGTGTAAGAAAAGAACTTGTTCTGTACCGAGTACAAAGGTTGTTACAGGATAAGAAAAAGCATCCAATTGAATGATTCTTCAACATCTGTCAAATGACTCTGGACAAAACGTCTGCAGGTTGCAATTTATATCATATTACATAACTACAACAGAAGTTAACTATCTGTCCATAGAAGTAGGTCATTCTTACTTTTCTCTAAGAATGTTAATATAGGTAAACAATTTAAGTGTACTGCTCCACATTCAGAATCTAAATGAAAATTACTTGGCAATTTGTCAATTACCTAGCAAAATTCATGGATCATTCTAATCTTACTTCAAAAACAACAATAAAATCCAGAAATATTTAAATGTGAAAAACAGGATCTGCTTTCAGCACTCTGAATTGTAACATGAATGTAGTATTAGATAAATTTAAAGACAAGTAATCTTTACAAAAACTGTATTAGAGGATGATAAAAATTCAGTGCAGTAAAAGCATATAAATTCACATTTCTCTATAAATGAGCATGAACATGGACAAATTTTCATTACTCAATTTACTCTGTGAGTCATACTAACTGATAAGGACCTAAAGTGTCAGGTAAAAATTAATATAATCACAACTTGACTGACTTCTTTATTGATGAACACAGTCTTATTAAAAGGGCACATACTCACACTTGATAATGTCTTAATAATCTGATATCCATCTTACAGATCTGTAAACACCTACCATTTGTTTAATTCTTTCTCCCCTTTGGCTACTACCATGCCTCATCTAAGGGTTGTATATTAATGCAAGTGTAAAAACAAGTTATCCCCTTAAAAACTTATATAGTATTTTCCCCAAAAATCCACACATTTAATATTGTGCCTTATGTGCAAACATTGTACACAACAATACTTAAAACAAGAGACCAAGTAATATATAGCACTATGATAGACACGAGTCACCTCCAATACTCTTTGCAACCAATGTGTTAGCTGCAGGTAATCAATATTTAATTATATACTCCTCTTTACAGAAGATCTGAGATTAATTCAAATAGGCATTGAAGTTTTCTTGATTGTACCGGGTCTACAATTTATGAGGCTGATGGTCGTGCTTGCATTGCGTGGTCGGCTGGCGCTCTGTTGATGTGGGCAGAAGTACTTAAAGAAAATATTCGGCAATTTCCTAAAAAAGAGCTTCAAAGAGTATTTCGAAACATGTTAACGAGATGTGAAGTTTGCCTGCAAGCACAAGTAAGTCACTTTGAACATCTTTTGTGATTTAAAGTAAGAACAATTAATGTAAAACATGTATTAGTGACGAGAAATATTCATAGTTCGCTGTTACTAGCGGCACTGAAACTGATTCGCCGGTCACCCACCGGAAGAACGCGCACAAATTCCGCCCACGCAATGCAAGCACGACCGCAGCCTCATAAATTGCAGACCCAGTACAATGTAAATTTCCTTCACATATTCAAAGGATGTTTGTTAATCATTACAAAACAAATGCACATGAAAAGACCACTTTTTCTTCTTAAGTCCGGAATCTGTCTGACTTCTGAAAGTATGTACACCTGTAGCAATTCTGGCCACTATAAATATGTGCTAAATACAAGAAAATGCCACTTTGTAAGTTAATATTCCATTCTGAAATTTAAATGAAACAGCCATGACAATTTGGCATAGCTATCCATAGTTAGTCCTGAGACTCCTGTACATTTCAATATGTAATGTATTGTTCAACAATCTATAAACATCGAAGTGACATTAATTCTGTGTGCACTAATCAATGAAGATCATAAAGGAACATGTGGTACTCTATGTAAGAGTAACGAATAGGAAATAAATGCATACTCCATGACTTTCTTGAAACAGTGAAGGATTACAGAGCTTGACATGAATAAGTTATAACACCAAAATAAACACTGTCCTTTCCAGAAATCTCACTGTCAGTTGTGATGTTTGTGTATAAATTCTGTCTCATCATTCATCAATCCTGTGTTCACACTTGTCTGAGTTCTTCATTTGAAGATAGAAATCCTTTTTTGTAAAAAGTTCAAACAAAGCATCAGTTATTGATCAGTCAATTGTTTGAATTATTTAATAAATGAAGGCTATTTGGTGATGCAAGAGAGGTAATGGGATGGTTACCAGATTCATCAGACACCTCATCACTTGAAGAACTCCGGATGTCTCCTTCCATCTGAAATAAAGTATACATTTCTAGAACAAAGATCAATATATTCTGGAAATTTCCTAAAGTAAAGATTCTCAAATTTTCTTCCTTAAGAGCTGTTTTGGACACATGAAAGGCAGTAATAATAAACTTTTTATTAATAATAAAATGTAAACATGTTTTGTTTGCTTAACAAAAATCAAACTGCCTTATCAATTACTAGACTGATTTTGGTTAATTTGTGTACAAAACACATACAGTAAGATCCCTGTAAGATATTCTGTAAATCCAAATGTTTGGAATTATTTACAATTATCCTTGAATTCAAAATTGCATTTCATAATCCAATTTGTAAAAAGTAAAGTAAAAAAAAGCTGTCACACTATGTCCTACTCATTCTTAATATCGGCACAAGGTGCGGATGAGTGGTTTGCATCACGCCCCTGCCACGCTTTACCCCTGGGAAAGGACCTTGGTACCCATTGGATAGGAGGCTGGGTGGGCCCCAGAGCCAGCCTGGAAGCAGAGGCTAGAGGAAAAAAATACTCTACCCCCATCGGGGATCTAATCCCATTTATATATAGTATGTATATGATTTTTTGGATGACTTAAAAAAATTAAAGCAGACTTGAAACACAAGCTGTAATGCCTGCTGTTCTTCAAAGTAAATGAGTCTGTTGAAAATGGTAGAAAAAAACCAAATTCACTGTATGAAAACATCAGCTTTCATAGTTGTCCTTTTTCTTTATTTCTCCATTCAGTGCTCCAATTACAAGGTCAAACTGGGCAGAGATGTTGCACCAAAGACATATGTACGCCCTACTGTAAAATTTATTCACAGATTATTGTCAACTGAGTTGGGTATATAATTTACTTTTAACATACTTATTCATTATTTCCATCTCATTTAAAATTACCAACCAGATGTTGCATGTACTGTGTACAGTAATATCTCTTGCATCAGATCACACAACAGATCAACTAGTCCCATCAACTAGTAAGTGACGCGGCTGGTTTTAGCAAGTAGCTAATTTCCCCGTTTATAATTATCCAGGATAATAACAACATGTTATTTTGTATAAAAAAACTTCAGTTACATGAACCTACTTTAGGTTATCTGTTGTGTTTTAATACTCATGTTTTTATCTTGTGTAATGTGTGTGCCTTATGGTTTTGTAATTTTATGAGTTGTTTTATTTTGAGTGTGGTGTGTTATTTTGTGCGATGTGTGTTGTTTTGTTTGTCTTATTGTAACACCACTGCCACTGGGTATGAACCCATTTGCAGTTAAATAATAATAATAATAATAAATATTGCATATCATTATACAGGTGGCACACGAAATGTTTACCCTTTTAAATCCTGCACAAGATCTAAATTTCTTACAAAAGTGTTGCATACCACACACACACTAAAGAATACAAGCATGGAAAGATGTTTTTAGTGCTGAACATGTGCAATATGACTCCCATTTTGCCTCATCACTTCTTCCCGAAGAACTTGTACGTTTGTGATCACTTTAAGGCACTAGTCTTCTGAAAGTGTGCAGCACAGCTGAATGATCATAGCTCTGAGTTCCATTAATGAACCAGGTTTCCTTGAGTAAAGTTTGTCCTTCATGAAGCTCCACAGAAAGAAATCACACTGGTTAATGTCTGGTCTATGGGGTGGCCAGACCTGTCCACAATCATGGCATCCAGGAAAAAATGATAAATCACTCTGGGAGCAAAGTTTTATACAGAAAATCAAGGACCACATGTGGCCTGGGTCCATCTTGCATAAACCACTGGGTTTTGATCGGAAATCCTGTTACAGTAAGTTGCAGTATAAAGTTGTTATGCAACACGGCCAGGCAACGATCAGAGTTGACCGTGTCCTCGAAAAAGAATGGCCTGATTATTCCATGGTTTGATATGGCAACCCACACAGTATACCCCGTGATTTCTTTCTGTAGGGCTTCATGAAGGACAAACTGTACTCAAGGAAACCTGGTTCATTAATGGAACTCAGAGCCATGATCATTTAGCTGTGCTGCATACTTTTGGAAGACTTGTGCTGTAAGATAATCACAAACATACAAGTTCGTCTAGAAGAGGTGACGAAGCAGAATGGGAGTCACATTGAACATGTTCAGCACTAAAAACATCTTCCCATAGTTGTGTCCTTTAGTGTGCATGTGATATGCAACACTTTTGTAAGAAATATAGATTTTGTGTTGGATTTAATAGGGTAAACATTTCGTGTGCCACTCTGAACATAATTTTTGCCAATTGGCTGTCCACCGGTCTATCTTACCAACTCCCAAACAATGTCTTCAACAAAAATGGTAAGGCCAAAAAACATTCTTTTTGGAAAGACTGCCATGCAAAAATTACCAACTATTTACAGAAAAAAATCACAGGAGTGTCCAAAATACTAGTCAATTTATCTCAACTGCGCCTCATAGAAAAATGACAAACACAAGAAATGTTCCTCTTTGGGGGGTTGGGGGGGGGGAGACTCAAGGGAAGATAAATATTTTTTGACGTAAATACGTCTATAAGGAAGAGTCATTCGGCAAAAATGTGTTACGAAAAAGTGTAACTTCATTGTTATGTTACCTAGGAAACCTCATCTGTTTACTCAGCATTGTTGTTACCTAGGAAACGTCATCTATTTACTCGGCATTATTGTTACCTAGGAAACGTCATCTGTTTACTTAGCATTGTTATTACCTATAAAACATTACATTACATTACCTTATATTACATTAACTAATTGAAGTTGAATAATCAATGTCTTAATCAAACTTATCTCAATTGTAAAGCATGTATAAAGGAAATATTTAGAATAATGCCAATATATAAACTTCCTTTCTGTATATACGTATTTACGTCAAATTCTCCGGAACCGTGGTTCCACTATCACTTTTTACTTCGAAAATTGTCACAGGGATGTCCAAGTAAGTACACAACAGAGTATTTTTCTCAAATCACATGTCACAGAAAAAATTGAATGACACCCATTTGAAAATTATTGTTTTCTAACAAACCTGGGAATATTATCCACGCTTTCTGTTTCAAATATTAAACAAATAATGTCCAAAAAATCAAACAATAGCACATCACAGAAAAAAATATAAATATGGATAATATCCTTTTGGTAGAGAGAGGCTCCCAAAAATTAATGTTTATTCTATTTCAAAAATAATTTACAGAGTATCCAGAAACAAATGCAATATCATTTCTTTTAAATAGCACACTGTAGAAACAAATAATAACTATAAAAATGTTCCTTTTGGAAACTGACTGACTGACTCTATGGCACAAAATACTGAAGCCAAGCCTTGGCCTCCTCCCATGTGGGAGGTTTCTTTGTCTTTTGAAGTGTACATCAATGAGAAGTGAGTGAAAAGCCCACTGCCTCTGCACAATTTCTACTCAATCCTGATTTGTCTGCTAGAGCCATCTAGTAGTGAATCAAGAGAGACTTGGGTGAGAAATGGCCACTGAATTTTGCTTACAAAACATCTCATTCTTTTACATGCTGTAAATCTATGACATGGGGCCACTTTCTTTACTTCCTCTCCAAAGGAAACTATGCTATGGATTTTTATCACCTTTAAAAATCCATCGACCTCAGCCGGGTTTGAACCTGTGAACCTTGGGTCCAGTGTCGAGCATGCTATCAACTAATCCACTGAGGGCGACTCCTCTTGGAAACTGCTGTGTAATTTTTTCCTTTATTTTGATAATTAGTTACAGGGGTGTCCAAAATACTTATACATGGATTGTTGTATAAAAAAAATGGTTAATACAAAAAAGTTCCTGTTGGAGACACAAACCCAGGATTTTGCTTTTGCTCCAAAAATTAAGAATAGGTACCCATAAAAATTGGTGCATTTTAAAATACATTAAATACTATTTCCCAAAATGTGGAGAGTTTGATTTCAAACAACTGAAGATCACTTAACAGTGCATCATTGAAATCATATATTTTGGATTTCCCTTTGAATTTCATTATTTCACTTCAGTTTCAAGTATAATGTTATTACTGTGCAGCAATGAATACCAGTTAATTATATACAATTACCATCACAGCTATGAAGCACAGATTTTCACAGCTTTAATGTTTGACAACTGAAGAGTGGCACATTATTATGAATGCCATAAAATCACAAGTTTTTAAACCATATGGTGGTAGATATTTGCTTGCTTTATTCAGAACAAATTCAGAATACACACACAAACATAAAAGAAAAATAGGAACATACCTGCCCAGCAACAATGGACTTGTATGCAATCTTCAGTATCACATAAGTCCAGAACAAATGTAGAACCAGCAACAAGATAAGCAAGGAGTTGAAAATGTAGTAGGCAGGAAACATTTCCACATAATTTGGAGCCTCGATGGTTGTACTGAACACAAACACGTGAAATTAATACAAAGTGAAGCTTTCATGGCGACTGAAGTTGATGAAAGACTCTTGGGTTACAAGCCGCATCAGGTGGCTGAACGGTGAATGAACCATATCTTCCGCAGAAGATATAGTTCATTCACTATTCAGCAACCTGATGCAGCTTGTAACCCAAGAATCATTCATATAAGTTAATACAATTTACAAATTAATTTCATTTTTATTATATTTACCTTAGTAAATATAATAATAATAACTATTACATGTCTACTACAGTTACTGAAGCCTGCCGCACTTTATACAGAGTTATTGCCATTCTTACTGCTGTATCATTGTTTAATCCTTCTAGAAAAGCATGTTAGTTTTGTCTTGAGAAGCTGATTCTCCAACTTTAAAGGAAGTTACTGGAAAGCTCTAGACTGTTCTCAAAGTGAGATGTCACTTCATGTTTTATTAATACCTGGTAATCTTCAGGGTCAACCACTGTGTGAAGTTCTACATTGTTTGTGATATAGCATTTATAATTCTGCACCTTCAAGAGGAAACTTGATTTAAAGTGCCATGCAAAGTGTATCATATCTAACTCAACAGTGTAGCTAGTTTACAAATGAAGTGTATTGAAATCTCTATTTACGATCAAGCATCATGTTTAACAACTACTATATTTCATATATATTGTTATTACACAGACAATTAAAGTTACGATCCATTCAATTAGAGAACTAATCTTTAACCAGACAGTAGATCATTAACTGTTGCAGGAAATTGTTACAGTTTTTCACCACAAGACATACAAAGAGAAAGATGAAAAAAGGAAGAAAATGTGTTGTGAATGCTATAATGAATACTCTCAACAATAAAATTCACTAAAATACAGTGACTTATATCTTCCTTTTGGATAATTATAGCCTACTGTTATATTCAGCACAATGCTAATGTTTTATACTCAAATTCCCTTCTGTTGACAACCATGGTCATCTTTTAACTAATTACATGGAGAAATGTCCTGCTTGAGAAGCTGACAGTCACTCACCTGGTTAAGAAATTCCATGTTTTTTTATGGAATTTGAACATTCATTACAATACATATTTGGGCCTAGGAGAGAAGAGGATGGGGTATGGAGAAAACTGCATAACAATGAGCTTAAAATTTTGTACTCCTCCCACAATATTTTCAGGTGATTAAGTCAAGGAGAATTAAGTGGGAGGGGCATGTGGCATGCATGGATGGGGCAAGAGGTATGCACCGAGTATTGGCTGGGAAGCCTGGGGGGGAGAGACCGCTGGGAAGACCTAGACGTATATGGGAGGATAATATCAAGCAGGCTTTATGGGAGACAGGAGTTGAAGGCAACTGAATTTTGATGGCCCAGGATAGGGATCGGTGGAGGGCTGTGGTTAATTCAGTGATGAACCTTTGGGTTCAATAAGCCATCTAGTTAGTTATATTTTAAAACTTGTGCATCTAATCTGTTTTAACTCAAACATCTATTTTCAGTTTTAATGTTTATATGATTAGTCATTTCATAATGATATAGGGTTTCAATAATTTAATTTACTTCTTTATCCTATATATTGAACAAAATATGTAATGTATAGCCACTGATTATATTTTGTGTTACAAAAACAATAACAAAGCCTTGGAATTGGATGACTTGTGTGGAACAACCCAGGTGACATTTAAAGGACTTGAGAATTGGACCATGGAATGTGAGGAACCTATATAAAACAAGGGCATGAGATACATTAGCTATGGTGGTATGAAAGTATAGTTTGGATATTGCAGCACTACAGGTTAGATGACCTGATTATGGAAGACTCACAAAGGGGAACTACATATTACATCATGGAAAAGGGAATAATGACCACTGCCTGGGAATAGGTTTTTTAGTGAAAAAAGATCTTCAGCAAGCAGCTGAAAAAGTAGAATTTGTTAATGATACGTTGTCATATTTAATCCTTTGTGGGCGATGGCATGATATTATTATAGTAAATGTGCACAAACAAACTGAAAACAAGGATGATAAGGTAAGGGATAGTTCTATGGAGAATTAGTGAATGTATTTTATCAGATTGGACGATACGACATGAAAATTCCACTAGAAGATTTCAATGCCAAAATTGGTCAGGACGATATTTTCAAACCAACTATAGAGAGTGAGAGTTTACATGAATTTAGTAAGGAAAATGGGGTGAGGTTGGTGAACTTTGCCACATCCAAAAGTCTGATTATAAAAAGCACAACTATTACAACATCTTCATCTCTATATGTACATTTGAACTTCCCCTGACAGGATGACCCATAATAAAATTCATCACATTCTAATCAATCAGAGGAGACAATCAAATATTGTAGATGTGCAATCTTATAAGGGAACAGACTGTGATACTGACCACTATTTAGTGACTGCAAAATTTAGGGCAAGAGTCTGTCAGAAAACAGGCAGGGAAGATATACAGGAAAGAGAAATTTAATGTCAAAAGACTGAGTGATATAGAAACTAAGCAAGAGTATCAGGTAAAAATTTCAAATAGGTCTGCAATCCTAGAAACTGTTAAAGAGAATACAGAGAATAGCAAAGCAGAAGTCAATAGGGCCTGGGAAAATATACAGAATGACATGAATATTTCAGCTGAGGAGAATGTAGGATATCATAAAGTTTCACAGAATAAAGCATAGTTTGATTAAGAATATTGCATAACAAGGAGCTACTTGAATTGTACAGGTCACCTAGCATAGTGAGGATAGTGAAATCTAGGAGGCTCCGATGCACTGGACATGGAGAATGCATCGGGCTGGCAAGGGGTGCATACACAATGATAGTAGGAAAACCTTCTGGAAAATGACCACTGGGCAGACCAAGATAATGTCAAGATGGGTCTTTGAGAGGTGAGCTGTGAGGATGGAAAATGGAGTTTTTTTCAGGATCATGTGTGGTGACAGGCTTTGGTGTTGTCAATGTTGTACCTGCAGGTTCTACTACCAGGGATTTAGTTATAGCCACTGATTAAGGCTTCATGAAACCAAAACACATTTGGAAAATACTGAACTCAGTAGCCAATAATTATGGTAAACGTTGTTGGTTTATCAAGTTTTGTTCGTCTTATTAATGTTGAAAGTATCTAACACATTGTGAACAACTGTTCAGCTCAATGAAGAATACAAAATCAACAACTAGGACACACCTCCTAATGAACACTTGGAGGAATACATGTGTGTCAATAAATGTGGAAAGATTACTCAACCAAAAGTAGTGTCAAATACCTCAATAATGACTTAAAGAAATTATTGAGTAATGTGTAAACCTGCTTGCAGTAATTAGTTGTAGCTTTCTTTTAACTGTCCTCATTCATAACCCTTTAAGTTGATAAAAAAGAAGGGTAAATGTGACCCCAGGTCTGGAAAACATGGAGAACCCCTGCTCCACAAGAAAAATAGCATGACTGATTATCATGTATAATAGATACAGGGGCTGGAAATAAGCCTAAACATCCAGGCAGGTAGTGACAGGAATGAATGTGTGAAAAACAGAACTAGCCATGGTCAAAGAAGAAGGTTGTGCACTTGTATGCTGGTATATAAAGGGAGATTTCCAGCACACATATGTACTAAGTAGCACCCACACAAAATGATGAAAAGGTTTGCTAAAACACATAAGCTATTCTGTAAGATTCCATAAGATTTGTAACCTTCTAAATGTGGCATGAAACTATATTAAAAGACTAGATGGATTTAAATCCAAATTATGCAGGAATGAAATGCAACAAACAATAAATTGTACTTACTGCATTTTTTAAACTACAAGTTACAAAAAAAGACAAATGTAAAAAAATAAACAATTTTCTCCCATGTTTTTGAGTGAACTGTCTCTATATAAACATATTTTCTGTTACTTTCTTACAAAATAGTCTCCTTCAGAAAGTGCTGTAAAAACATTGCAAACTGTACTATAGTCCCACATGTCATTTACACCTGGCTGGCTGCATCATAACACAAATATAGTCTGAATGAATGCTTTCTTATTGCAGTCATGAATTAATAACAAGAAACCTACAGTTTTAATTTCAAGAATAACTTTAATCATCCTACTTGCACACAGCAGGTCTAGTCATTCAGTGCAAAATAAATGATTTTCAAATTCACTACTTCCACCCTAAAATATATCCTTTACAGCAAATGTTTTTTTTCATAAGCAACATTCAAAATCAGGAATTAGTAGAAATGATTGCAGTTAATATTTTAGTATTTTTTTTATTTATGAACTGATGTGTGAGATCCATGTGTTATACTGTATTTTCCAGTATATAAGACACTCACTTGTATAAGATGCACCCCCAAAATCAAAGCAATTTTATGGTATACAACTGAAACTCAAAGAAACTAATACCTCTAACATTCTGAAACCCTGTAAAATCACTGTCAACTATCTTCAGAGTCTTTCCTCTCGCGAAATCTAAGAAAATTCCTTCTTCAGAATCAGAGTTTTTCTGTTCAATGTCATCATACAGGAAGTGGTCCTCACATACATAGACCATTACATTTCATAAAGTGGCAACACCAAGTTGCTCCACCTGAAAATCTTCAATGTTATGGTCATGAGCTACTTTTGTCGTAACTGCAATGTTATTGAGACAATGTCCTTCTACCCAATTCCATAAGTCAGCCTCCAATTCTGGCCATTCTGCACTTTTCCCATGATAAGCCCATTTTCCCTTACTACAATCTTTCAAGCGTCTTTCTGAGCACACAATACCCTTATCATTTTTTCAGTTGGTGGAGGACCAAAATGTCTTTCTTCCATCCTATTCCCATGCTCTTCTGCACAAGCTATAACTTGCAGTTTATAGCACACAGTGTACAAGTCACTCATTTTTTAACCATAATAAGCTAGGTGTTTAGTAAATAAAACACCGAATGCTAGAAAATAATTCATTCACTGATAAAAATTTAAAACAGATTATTCAATTGTGACAATCATCGTAACAATCAATGTACTGAAATTATATTTTGAACATAGTATATTGAGGGGGGGGAGGGAGTTAGAGAAATTAATATGACTGATATTAGCCTACTGTGGCTGAATCAGAGTGCACCTGCATTGGCAAGGGAGGCAACCTTCGCTATTTTAGACACAATAATTTTGAGGTACATTTTGAAAGTTGAAAACTGTGTCTTATACACTGGAAAACATAGTAATTTCATGGCTTTATTCCCTTCATTTTCATTCATTCGGCAACATAAATATATAGCATGAGATACAAACAACAGATTAGTTTATTTCATTCATTGTATCAAGTGCCAAAGCTTGAGACCTAATCTCATGATGAGAATTCATTTTGTCACTCCATAGCAATAATTTTAAACAAAAGACTTCAAGCTGAAGACAAACAGAGACACAGAGAGAAAGTGTGTGTGTGTTAGTGAAAAGAAACAAGCTATGTAAGTATTAAGGGATATACATTCAATGTGGCAGTGTATTTAGGGAAGGAGAACGTACTATAGGCTTTTACAGCAGCAACTAATATAATGTAGGGGTGTGTTAATCAAAGCTGCAGACTATATCACACCAGAACATTTAATAAAATGTGGATCTCAAAGAAAATTTAGTATGCCCACACTTTCAAGAAAAGATTCACATGACACATTTCATACATCATAAAAACTCTTCAAATCAGTCTGCCAGAAACAGGAAGTTCACTGGTTATCAAATACAGATCTTTTTCAACATCCTGTCAGGCATAACACATCCTCCACCTTTCAATGTTTTTGCAACAGCTAAAAATGTACTTTTGACAAGATGTAAGTGATAAGGATAACAATGATAGTGAATATACATTACTGTTCAAACCTGCAATAAAAGTTTACAATAACAGGATGGAATTTCGTTTCTAGTCTATTCTCCTAATTAAAACTAGATACATGAAGAGTTACTAAAGGAGTCAGAAGTCTATGCATATGTATAATGTATGTGAAATTAAACACTCAGGTGATTTGTGAAACTAGTCACAATCTAATCACTTCTCTTATTTGGTAATGTTATATGATGATTTATGCAAACACATGTATTGTAGGGGCAAAAACATTATTCCTGTTGTGTGGTTATTTCAGCGAGATAATGCAAACTATTTCCTTTTAAAGGTATCTGATATGGTTATCTAGTCTCATATTACTATCTTCATAACATCAGTTTAAGATTCCAAATTTTAAAAGTAAACATAATATTTTAAAACTAAATGAGCATTCATTCAGGTGCAGAGTGCATACATACCTGTAAATGATCCACATAGGGTAGATGCCCAGACGTGTTGTAATCCATAACAATGTAAATACTACAAATAATGCATCACACACCTTCTGGTAGTTTGCATACTTTGCCATTTTGGCTGCCTGTATGAGGAAAGTAAGAATGTTATGTTATTATTATTATAAATTAAGTGTAGAATGTTGTTTAACCCTGAATAAGTTTTGCAGAGCTATGAATACTGTGCAAGACTGAGAATTTTACTGATATGATAATATATCCCTCACACATCAACACAAGAAACTAGTTTTATTGTGACACAAAATTCATACATTCTGGAAGAAACCTATCATTATTTTCTATTGTAAAGGGAGATAAGATACTGTCACATTATTAATTAATAAATAAATTATTTATATCTATAAAAGTCTTTTTAGTATACCCCATCTGTCACGTGCTCAACAAGTTTTCGCAACTCAAGGAATAAAAAACACCTAAAGCAAGTAGCAGAGAATATATAATTTATTGAAGTCAACCTACTGTGCAGGTGTCTCTGGAAGAAAGCAAGGTAATGAAGGATGAGAAGTGCAAAGGGGGTGATTGTAAGTTGCATGCCAATGTGACTACTATGAGTGCAATATACATTCACCAACAGAATAAATGACACACAACTCAGGATGACTGTACTTGGAATCTATGGTTTCTGAACTCAGACATCACCACACAATACATACAACTTAACTTCCTTACCCCTTCCTAATGGCACATACCTGCTTACATCCCCCCCTCAACCCTTCAAATATGGCCATGATTATTGGTCTGTTACAGTAGGCACCACATGAAACCAAATTTTTATTTCCTTGTTTACCATGTAAACATATATTAAATTGAATTAAATAATTTATTCCATTGGCAACTATTGGTATGCAAATACATAAAAATGTAAACCGAAATTGCTTTAATGCTTTTAAAAGAACCTTATTCTGTGTCTATCCTATTTCAGCATAATAAACTGTTTTTCTTCTGACCATGAAGTATGTTTACAATTCTTTCAAATATATTGTAAATGATACTTTGAAGTCTATATCACAGACCTATAAAGTAGGATGTAAATTTAATTAAAGCATCTACAGCAGCAAGAATTATTCTACGTATTATCCTTGCATATTTCAATTACTCTAGTAGCCTACATGCTGAACAAATTTATGCACTCTGCCACAAATATTGTCAATTATTGAATGTTAAATAACATGTCCCATTACAGTAGGACAAACAAATTTAATTTTAAAAATACAGTGAATACATGGTCACATAGCAGCACATTAATACAAAGACATGTACATCTGAAACAGATGGCCATACAGCATGTCTACAATGAAACGCCCTGATTTTGGAGAATTTCTTAAAAAAATGCAATTTTTTTTTAAAAAGTCTTAAGGGTCTCCTGCATATTACAGGAGTTCAAATTCTCACCTAAATTGTTAGGCTACCTCACGGGCCACCCTTGGGGCACTGTTGTCATTTCACGCAAAGATGGTGTCAGCTCAGGAGAAGACACGAGTTGTTGTGTGTTTTTCTGAGTGTAACTCCATTGTGAGGGTGCAAAGGGAGTTTCATCGTGTTTATCAGAAAGCAGCACCAGACGCCAAGAGGATCAAAGCATGGCACAAGTTTCTAGAGACTGGGTGTGTCTTGAAAGGGCACGGAGGAGGCCGGCAACGTGTCTCCGATGAGAAGGTAGAGAACGTCTGTCAAGCGTTCATCCAAGTCCAAGGAAGTCAATTCGTTTGGCTTCATGGGAACTGCAGATGCCACGAGTGACTGTGCATAAGGTTCTCCGAAAGCGGTTGCGTCTCTATGCAGCGAGCTCTGAATGCAACATTTCCAGGCCGTTGGATAGGACAAGATGGACCAACGGATTGGCCTCCACGTTCCCCTGACATCACGCCGTTGGATTTCTTTTTGTGGGGCTACATGAAGGACAGAATTTACACCACTAAAGTGCAAGACCTCCAGGCCTGGATTGTGGAAGCTGTCGGTACCACCACTCAGGACATGTTGCAGCAGACCTGGGTGGAACTCGATTACAGGCTAGATATCCTACGTGTATTGATTCTTTTAATTAAACTTGATGTGTTGTGTGACTGATATTTGTAAATAAATAGGCAATATCTCTATTCCTTACTTCCTGAAAATATGATAAAATTCGGGCGTTTCATTGTAGACACCTGTATATTAATTTACAAATTTCAACTATCATTTACCTCAAGCAAAATATCAGCACAATCATGTGTCAGGAGCACCAATGTTCCAATGCGATGGAGGTTGCACATCCATGAGAATCCCATAAGGCATATGGTAGCTATATGATGTATAAACATCTGACGGAAATCCTTGCGCTTTACATCAGAGAACTGTGACACTGCCAGTGACCAATAGAATGCCAGGGAAATCATATAATACCACCAGCAGTCTGAAGTGATGCCCTAGGTCAAATACAAAAAGAATGGATAGTGAAAATGCAAGATAAATTAATACTACCGTATACACAACTTTATGTGTATAACAATCTTTCACTATGAAATCAACATGTCAAAAATATTAAAATAAAACAACATGGAAATAAATGTCATTTTGACATGAATAAAATACATACAAGGCAACCCATTGCTATTCCAATGCCATACAGCAGAATTCTTAAAAAACTGACAGCTCAAAAGATAGTCAAGAAATTCCTCACCTGGAGATTAATTACATTAACAAGAGCCTGCAAACAGTCCCAATCCTGAGCCAGTCAAATATGGTCCATATGCACACACTGTAATTTCAATATTATCCTCTAATATAAGCATAGGTTTTCTGAACAGTTCATCATTACTGGTAACGGTTAATAACAAAAAAAGTAAAAGTAAGGCTGTCCCACTGGACTGGAGGCTGGGTGGGCCCCACCAGAACCAGTCTGGATGTAGAGGCTAGAAGAAAAATCCTCTGCCCCCATCAGAGATCGAACCCTGTCATCCAGTCCTCTAGCCAGTCACTATACTGACTGAGCTACGCCAGCTCATTGGGTTAATAATAAAGATGTTTAAAATATTACACCATGTTAGATGAAAATACACAAAACAAACAGAAAATACGAACCGTGTGGACCTACTTCTTTATTTACAACTGGTGCCCAACAATGATTACAAGTTGACTGACAATTAACAGATAAGTCAACTAGATTTTAATGGTACTGTAACAAGTACAGTGTCAGTGATGCATATATATGTCTCAAGCTATAAGCAAATACTTACTCACTCTCTCACACACACACACACACAATTTTACTTACATATACAAGATTTTATTAATCAACCTTTATCATATACCTCCCAACAATCAACTTATTCTCATTTGCAAAAGTGTGGTGTATGTGTGAAACATCAATAAATCCTGTTCGTGTCATATTTTGCCACACTGTAACAATTTTAAAAACTATGTAATGGATACAGGAAACATACCTGGTGAGGATAATCATACCAACTATGATTAATGTCCCACAACCATGGCTTATCCCACAAGCAGAACACACCATATGAAAATGAGTATGTATAGTATAACCACCTCCAACTGAAAAGTTAATCATAAATCTTCGTTACATTTATTGTATAATTAAAATGTTCATCTGCAGTCAACAGTTATAAAAATATGATATACAGAAACTCACCATGTCTCACAAAACTTTGTTAATGTTGATGGTTTATCCTGTGCACGTCTGAGACGTAACCAGCGTTCAACTTGCCTCTCTGACAATTCCACTTGTTTGGACAGCCCCACAATCTACATAAAAATCAATTTTTATGTTTAACAGAAAAAAAGAATCATTTGTTCCTTTATCTGTTTCATATCAAAATACTTCCATCAATTAAAAAAAATTTCCCCCTCAAGATGTAATGAATATACTACAAACATGAGAAACTGGCTAATAGAACTCTACTGCCTCATGGACTACATGCATTCTACTTTCTATTAAAAATGTTCCTCTTGTAATTTCTGTTGTTAATTCACGGACCACTCAAATGAAACACGTGAATAACATACCTGAGAAGTCGTAACAACAACCGTTTCATACATTAAACTTAATCTCTTGATTAATTGACTGATAGATGTGTTTAAGAGTTGACTCACCTATCATGTTTATATGCACCTACCCCATTATCTAATAATACTCAAATTATAAAATTCAACTTAAAAAAAAATTAAACATGGTAATGGCATTTCCTCCACACTAGACACAATGGCTATACTGCCATGACTATGTTTTCTGGAATTTGGTAGTGGCACTTCCTCTTTTACAAATATAATGGTTAAACTGCCATGACAGTCAAATCTCTACTGGAAATCTGAGCATAGTTTCTCTCTCACTTTCATAATCACAGATAACCTACACTCAGGAAGACTGCAAACATTATGTGGTAACAATTCAGTATGATTATAAACATCTATTTGGAAGAGTACTGTTGCTTAACTAACTAGATGGCTTAAGGAACCCAATGGTTCATCACCGGATTAACCAAAGCCCTCCGTCGGACCCTGTCCTGGGCCAACAAAATTCAGTCTCCTTCAACTACTATCCCCCATAGATCCTGCCTGACATTATCCTCCCATATATGTCTAGGTCTCCCCAGAGATCTCTTCCCCTCAGGCATCCCAACCAATACCTGGTGCACACCTCTTGTCCCATCCATGCACACTACATGCCCTGCGCATCTCATTCTTCTCGACTTAATCACCCTGACAATATTGGGGGAGGAGTACAAATTTTTAAGATCGTCATTATGTGGTTTTCTCCAGACCCCATCCTCTTCTGTCCTAGACCCAAATATCCTCCTAAACACCCTATTCTCAAACACCTGCAACCTATGTTCCTCCCTCACAGTGAGAGACCATGTTTTGCACCCATACAAAACAACAGGCAAAATTATTGTTTTGTATACTTCAATTTTCAGGTTCTCAGAAATCAGAGAGGAAGACAAAATATTTTGAACTGAGAAGTAGCAAGCATTTCCAGAATTTCCTCATGAGTATCATTTTGATTTCTTATTGTTGTTCCCAAATATTTGAACTTTGTGACACTTTCAACACAAGCCACCCTAAGACAATAATGCCTGCCTGTCTGCTGACGAGATACTAACATGTACTTACGTTTTTCTGACTTTAGTTCTAGCCCCACCTGTTTACTAGCCTCTACTAAAACTTCTGTGTTCCTCTTTATTGTATTTATATAATCACCCAATAAATTAATATCATCAGCATAAGGCAGTAGCTGATGTGTCCCATTGAATTGCAAACCCTCCTGCCTATCTTGGACTTTCCTAATGGGGTATTCTAGCACAAAGTTAAAGAGCAAGGCAGACAAGGCATCTCCTTGTTTTAGACTGTTCTTGATGGAAAATGACTCAGACAAATATTTACCTATGCGAATTTTGCTACAGGTTTCATTTAAGCACATTTTTATTAGACTCACTAGCTTCTTTGGTATACCAAATTCAATAAGAATATTATATAGCACTTCTCTCTTCACAGTCAGAGGCTTTTTTGAAATCTATAAATAACTGATGTATGGTCTCACTGAACTCCACTTTTTCTCTAGTATCTGACGAATGCAAAAGATCTGATCAATCGTTGATCTGTTTCGTCTGAACCCACATTAACGATCCCCAATAATTTCATTCGCATATGGGGTTAATCTTGCCAAAAGAATGTTTGATAGAATTTTGTATGAGGTTGATAGCAGAGAAATTCCTCGGTAATTACCATACTCAGTCATGTCCCCTTTCTTATGAATAGGAATAATTATGGATTCCTTCCATTGTTGTGGCATCTCTTCCTTATCCCAAATTAACAGTATAAGCTTATGGATCTTCATATGCAACCTTTTGCCACCTGCTTTAATTAATTCTGCTGGAATTTGATCAACACCTGGAAATTTATAACTTATCAACTTCCCGATGGCTAGTTCAACTTCATCTAAACTAGGTTCTGGCACTAACAGTTCAGCTGTATGCATTTTAATCAATCTAACATCATCAGTGTCATGAACATTTAAGAGCTGGCTAAAGAAATTTTTCCACCTATTCAAAATTTGTATTGGATCTGCAAGCAAATTGCCATTACCATCCTTTACCAAATTAGACTGAGGTTTATATCCTTTCTTAAAATTATTAATCTGAAAATACCATTATGAAACAGGGAGTTTCTGAAATACATAGCTACCAAACTTTAAATTAAATATGATGGCCTAGAACTTCATCATGTCAATAATCTGTCAAGGATATTAGGTTGCCACTTTGCAACATTAATACACTTGGACTTCTCCTAATGGGAACAAATACAATGAGACTGATCACATTATTTGAGGTTTTCATGGCAGTAAGTCCAGTGGGTTGTAGCACCATGTAGTCTGGTAGAAGTTTACCAATGTTTCAGAGGTCCTTGCTGTAATGATTTCCCTGATGAAGGAGGCAGCAGGGATCTCTGAAATGTTGGTAAACTTCTACCAGACTACATGGCACTATAACACAGAGGAAAGCCATCTTCAAATTGATCACATCTTAATTACAAGACAGCATTCAAGTATACTTGATGTCAGATCTTTCAGATAAACAGACAGTCATACTGACTATCAGATTAAAAAAGTTACAGAGACTTCAGCAATAGAATGAACAATGCAAAGATTTCATGTGGAGATCTATAATCTTAAGACACTAAAGAATGTAAACATTAAGTAACAGGATCAGGTTAAAATCTGAAACAGGTCTGCAGCTTTGGAAAACTTGGGATCATAAATAGGACATCAATGGGGACTGCAGACGTATTAGACAGTAAAGTCAAAGACAGTCTACATTATTCTAAGCAGCATAAACTATGGTTTGACAAAGCACGCTCAAAACAGTATGACTGAAGGAAGCTGGCAGAATATCAACTACTGGAGAACCCAAACCAAATTAATGGAAATAATCTATACAACTTCAGATCTGATACAATATTGTTTTTCACCATAACTGGCAAATGGGGCTTCAAAGCACATGTACGATGGAATGAAAGGAAGTAAAGAAGAGGAAAGAGCGGGAGGAAGTAGCAAAAAACAGAACACACAATGGTGCCAAATGCAGTATTATGGAATGTTGACTTCAGCGGACACAAATTTTGTTAAATGTATTTGTAAACAAAAAATCAATTATTCATGAATATTGTATATTAATCTGTGTGCCTGACTATGAATTTTTGGGGTAATTCATCAAACAGTAAAAAGATATTCACTTTACAAAAGAAAATTATTAGATTATTGGCTGGTGTAAAACCTAGAAATTCATGTAGAAGTCTATTTAAGAGATTAGAGATCTTAGCTCTTCCTTGTGAATACATATTCTCGTTAATGAACTGTATTGTAAATAACCAAGAGCTCTTTCAAACTAATTCTGCTGTACACAGTGTCAACACAAGGAATAAAAAATCAGCTTCATAGACCAGTTGCCAACCTCTCATGCTTTCAGAAGAGTGCATATTATGCAGGAATCAAAATTTTCAACAGTCTACCATCAAGTCTCACAAGTCTTGTAAATAAGGAGCAATTTAAGGTAGCATTAAAAAGATATTTAATTACACACTCCTTTTACTCTGTCAATGAATTTATGTTGTTTACAATTAAGTGATAAATTTTCTTATGTGTGTAATGGGTAAATCTATTTGTAACTTATCATTTCTTTAGGTGAACCCTTTGTTTGCATTATGTAAAATTTATATAATAGTATGATTTGTACTTTATAAAATGTATTGTATTATTATTATTATTACTTTTTCCACATCCTATTGTCATCTGACTGTCTTATGGATCCATGGAATGTAATATAATATGTATATATGTATGCAAATCCATGCCTTTCTTCTCCATTAAAAAACAAGGTTACAACCCTACGCAACAAACAAGTAGGAGCTAGCAACAAAATAGTATGGGTGCCAATGCTTCTATCACACATTTCCTGAACAAAGTGAGCTCCTGCTGTTTATCAGCAGATATCCACTGCACTGATTAGTCACTCAAAAAAACAGAACTCAATTCAGCTGCTGATTCTAGTGAAGGACACTACATTAAACATTTCATGAATAAAACATGGGTATATATGGAAAACAACTAATGACCTTAAAATAGACTGTAAGAGCTACCAGCCATCTAAAGTGGAAGAATTATATCGATCAAATGATTCCACAGTTACGTGGCGCATTTCATATTGTTAAATCAATGTATCATAATGTCAATACTGACACACTGAAATCAGTCTACTTTGTCTACTTTCACTCTATTTAGAAGTATGGAAAAATTTTGGGGGGTAATTCATCTAACAGTAAAGGATATTTACCTTTCAAATGAAAATCATCAGAATTATGGCTGGTGCCAAACAAAGCCTATTTAAGAAATGAGAAATTTTACCTCTTCCTTGTGAATATACACTTTTATTAATGTACTTCATTGTAAATAACCTCGAACTCTTTCAGACAAATTCAACTGTACACAGTGCTCACACAAGGAATAAGAACAATCTTCAAAGACCAACTGCCAACCTTTCATATTTCCAGATATGTCTTCACTATGTATCAAAGTCTTCAACAGTTTATTACATACTCTCAAAACTATTTCAGATAAAATGGAGACATTTAAAGTGGCATTACAGAGATACATAAATACATACAACTTTTTACTCTGTAGAAAAATTTCTGCAGTATAAAGAGATCTCATATTCCTTTTAGAGATTATAGTACTTAAATAGTCCACTGTATGACAGTGGATTTAGTGTAACATTTTAATATTTTCATGTTAAACCTTTATTGTTTATGATACCTGGTAAATATTTAAACTGTACTCATCCATATATTTTGTACTTTATGACTCATTCCACTTCCTACAGTCAGTTTCACTAACTTTTGGATCCACGAAGAGAAAGTGAGTGTGATACTGTGTGAGACCATGAGAGTGTGAGAGTTGGTAAGTGTGCAAGTGGTTGAATTTCAGAGTGAGTTAGTGTGAGAGTGAGTGAGTGTGTGTATTGGGTAAAAACAAATACCATAAAGATGCTCTATAAGATGCCAGAAATGAAGCTGGTCAAACACAGGTGTTCTCAATTCATTGCCAGTCTGTTTTGTGTTACCTGTCTTCTTGCAATATTTTTTTACAGCTTGCACAAGTCAAAAAGTAATCTGATATCAGGAAACATGTTTTTGTTAATGTCATCAGTATTTTGCTGTAAAAATCACTGAGCAACTGTTCAGCTTAATGATTAACATCGAATCAAGAAGTAGAAAAGGTTTTGTTGATGAGAACTTTGAGGGACAAATGTGATTCACAACAACAACAATTAAATCTGATACTAAAAGATTACTCAAGTGAAAGCCATGCCAGACATCACATTGACAACTAATGTTAAAGAAATTAGTAGTATGTCAGCCTGTTTACATTAGCAAGTTAGTCGAGGTAATGTTATCCTGCATGCCTAACTAAACACCACACCATGCAAACATTGCAGTGTGGATGTACAGTTCCTCCTAATTTTCTTGCACCTTCATAATGGAAAGCTCTGAAGAACATGAAATGTTTCTCATCTAGATAGAAACATTACTTTCACTTCAGCATACTGAAATGTGCCATTACAGAAATTTATTTGCAGTAACCTGGAAATGCTTCACAGTAGCATAAAGTCCTGTGAACACAGTTTGAGAGCATCTAATCTGATGGTATGTCATTGTCTGCCTAGAAGGACTGATAAAAACCACAAAAAATTGTCAGTGGAACCACAGTTCCGGAGAATCTGACGTAAATACGTCTCTGTATTTAAATTATATTTAAGCAATAAATACAACGAAAGGAAGGTAGCTGAATGCAATGTAAGGAAATGTAATGTAATGAAATGAAATGAAATGAAATGAAATGTAATGTAATGTAATGAGATGTAATGTCAAAATTATCTAATCTACGACGCACTTCTTCTACAAGCGATTCACAGCTCAGCTCTTTCCGCAATAATGAAAGCAGATTGTTGACGGCAGTAATGTAACACAACAATGCCGAGTAAACAGATGATTTTTCCTAGTTAACACAACAATGCACGCAAGCTGACCATTGTTGTTGGTCCATATTTACACACTGTTGATATGGATCTTACACATTTTCCTAGGTAACAACAATGCTGAGTAAACACGACGTTCCATAGGTAACCATTGTTGTAGATTTGTTGATACGGATGTTACACATTATCGTTCCACGTTTTCCTTTCATTTTTTTGCCGAATGACCCTTCCGTATAGACGTATTTACGTCAAAAATTTAAAAGTTTCTTAACAAAGTAACTCATGAATACAATTCTGCTCTGCTAATCTGTTTGTTAACTGATTTCAAATTCTTAGTACATTAAGATTGTTGTTTTTCTTTTAAAAAAGACACCATGCAACTAATGAATATCCAACACCACAACAGTTACCTAACACATTCAAGGTCAGATATTTCCTTGATAGTATGGGTTATGTAGTACCTAGTAACTGCAAACTTAATGGCTGCTAAATTCTTTGATAATCATTGATTACTCCTTCAATGAAATCAGTTTTCTTGGAAAAAATATGGCCCAATCAAGAAATGTTATCTTTCCTCTCATCTTTTTCAAACAATAATTAATATTCACTGCAAATGATATGTATTCACACAACTGTAAAATTTACTATAACCTCAAAAGTGTACTCTTCTACTAACAGAAAATTAATGGCCGTAAATATGAGTACGTACAAACTTAAGTACTTACCTGCTTATGCTTAATTTTTCCCTCACATAAATACGCCCTCTCTAAAATTGCATTAGGTGGGGCCTTCTTTGGTTTTGTATTTTTGATACCCAGAGAAATGCCAACAGGAGCAAACCAGTACCTACAAAGCAGAAATGTAATAACATAAAAATCCAAATACTGAAATACAATCCAACGAAACTTATAGCTCAGAATGTTTTTTACGAACCTTTCCAAAATAAATCTTATACCCAACAACATAAATGCCAATGGCAAAGGTATCACCAGATGTCTGTAATTGGCATAAGCTATTTTATCATTCGGTTCCAAATCAGCCCAAGTAACATTTGGAGGCAGCCACACATCCGGGCTCCAAAATTTATCCAACAAAGCTCGTACCAAAGACATTTCAAAAGCCTACTTAATTAACTAACACCAACACCCACATAGCTCTACAACCAACTCATAACTGATTGTTCTGTGGATTATCTCCAACTCAAGAGGACTCCTAGCGGCCGTAAATTGAAAGTATTAACACCGCCAAATTTAATTGATTCGAGCAGCATTCTCTTTATGAAAATTATGTTGCCGTAGTTTCCAAAACAGGAAAGTTTCCTGCCAACAGTCATTAGTTTACGCCTACGCACCCCCTCCGTTAATACCATAATCCATATATATGGCATGAATGGGGTATGCAAAACACAGTATTACTCTAATACTTGTGTATGTGTAATTACTATGAAAGTAACTTGGAATAACCACATATGACTTTTGCCTCATCACTCTCAGTTCAGCGTTCACAATCACTGTTTCACCTCATTCAACCAACTGCAAGTAGAATTAAGTAATATGACTGAAAATAATTTAATAGACAAAATAAAAAGTCTTTCTTACAATGAAATTGTATCTACCTTGAGATAGGAAATATGAATTCCTGCATGCATGTTTAGAATTAACCCTATGAAGGGGATCCACTGTACAGTTACCAAATCTAAATGATGGGCACTCTTTCTCACAGAGTTATTTCCTTTGTCTTAAGACATTACAACCATGGCTCCCAACAATGATACAAGTGGGAACAATTTTTCCAAATCTGAATTGTAAACATTACCTGTAACTATTAGCCATCACCTGCTGCCACTATTGCCACTCCTGCTGGTTCTCCTTATGTGGGCTTTTCTACTGATCTAGAGCATGTACTTAGTTCTGAAAAGTCATTTTAACTCCAGATTACAACATATCAATAACCCTATGAGGTCAGCATGTCTGATCAACATGTGAAATGTTCACATCTATAGTGTGAATGGTTGTGAAATATGTACATTTTTATTATGTTAACTAATAAGGTCTTTAAAGTGTAATAATCTGGTCCAAATTTTATCATCAATCAGCAACTAAAAACTCTTAATCTAATTTACTCGTATAATCATCATTATAGTGAGTTCTTTAACTGCAAAGTTCAGATAATTTATATGCCCAATGACAGACAGCAGAAGTCTTTACAGAAGAACAAAAAATCATAATAAAATTGAGTTTGACATTAGATGTAATGGAATAAAATGCATTCTTGAGTCATACCTTGACAAAGGACTGAAAAGAAGTAAGAGATACTGACAGTATTCATATATGGGTCTGACAATTACTTAATTGCAATGACATTTGACCAGTATTAACAGTATACTATCCTGACCAAATAATCTTGTATGAAATTTATTATTGAAACCTAACTGTAAAAGTAAGTATGCTGAGGATTAGCATATGGTAGGTTTTGAGGTTAGCTCCTGGTGCCATTCTGCTTTCATTAACCATGCTCCTGGCAATGTACAATATATAGAGTGTATCTGAAAGGTTTGAACAAACTTTGTGGACAGGTTCTACATAGCAAAACTAGACATTGATTATTTTGTTTCTATAAAATCTGGGAATATCAGTTGGAATGGTTTACTGCAAATAGTACTTGACCAGGCTGTAACTCAAAAAGAAAGTGTTTCCAGACACATGTTCATATGACCTTCATATATTGTTTTGCTGTGTAGAACTCACCCCCAAAACCTGTACAGATCTTTCAGATACATACCATATTAGCGATCTTTTATTGATCCTGTATGAATACTTTCATGAAGAAACCAGTGAGTACTCTTCCATGAAATGCATAAGAACATAATAGTACAGAAAGCACTTTATTTGATATATGAAAATGAGTATCATTTCTTCTTTCTTGCTAGTACATTAACACTGCTTTCCCTGTATTTTATTCACAGATTGTGGCACTTTTAATTTAAAAATTACACTGCATCATTATACAAACTCCCAAATATATACAATACAGCTAAAAGTATCTCAACAATTAGTTGATATTATAATGGTTTGGAATTTTATCACACATTATTGCCATAATTAAAAAAATTAACAGAATTACAGATTCTTTGTCGAACACACATATTATTTTGAAAACAATTCATTTTTATAATTTCATATTAAATTCATGAAGAAATATTTATCTTATCACATACATTACTTACTGAAGAAAACTGTTTCTCATCAAAGTATATGGTACCAGTTTCAATACCATACACATAAAACAATGTTACTCTAACTTTGCACACTGGTGCAGAGCTTAGTACAAAACAAATCTTAATAAAATCTTCCAGTTTTCTCCCTAATATTCATTGCATAGTAGTGCTTATTAACTATATAATGTTAATCACTTTTAAAATGTTCACCACTGTTTACCACTGAACCTGTCACTGCCATGTTTGCACTGAAATGGCAAATACATGTTATTTAGTTCTTTGTTGAAGTGGCTATTGCAATGCAGAGTACTTGCAAGAGTTATATTTCATGGATTTTTATTATATTACTGGTATTCACAGTTTGTCACAGTGTTTTATAAATACTTCATGGCTGCACAAAAACTTGGAATTTAAATTATATATTTACTTCAATTTCTATTTCCTCATTTTTAGTAAACAATCTGTGAATGCTTTCATGTATGTAGGTTGTTAAATAAAGAGCCTGTAAACTACACCACTGTCTAATTCAGAATCATACCATGAAGACATGTGGAGGAGTAGTTATAGCTCACCATTAAGTTGATGTGAGTGGTCATCTTTGCCTCTGAGAAAAGAGCCCCAATATTCACTGGACAGGAAGCTACGTTGACCTAGTATGGAGAAACAGAAAAATCCCTGCCCTTGACAGGAATCAAACCCCAGTCATCCAACCTGTAGCCCAGGCAAGGGCAACCTTTAGGTAGCTCAGACCAGATCTAGTTTCTTTATCATGACTGCACACCATGAAGATACATATCAAATAAGATATTACCACTAGTTAAAACTAAACACCTTGATATTTTACATGTCAAAAAAACAGATTACAATCATAATCTTAATAACATATTAAAAAGCCTTTAAACTATATGGGTCAAATAAAAAGTTATAGCAGGCTGGGAGTTGTACTTGCCAGTTGTAGCCACTCACTATACCAATTGCTCAGAATTCAAGTTAAATAAATTTCAATGACAAAAACTTTCAGAAATACTGATTCAGGTAATATTTCTGTACATTGTTACTTATATTTACATTGTACAATGCTACATTAAACTGGGTGTTACTATTATGTATTCTTCCTGCCTTTACAGACAAGCAACATAATGCCTGTATATGGATTAAAATTCTATTTCCATCATCTCCTTCGTCCTCCTCTTACTCTTTGTCATACTTACAGTGTACTTTATCCTTTATTGTATAGGAATAAAGGATTTATAACCCCATTACTAAGGGGATACCAATCACAATTTAACTGTGGGTGGTTTATGAGTATTGTGATATTCTATTGCAACACAAAACCAGATGGAGCATGCATAAACCATGATGCACAGATGACAAAGGTAAAAGAACAATCTACATATCTTGCCATTAAAAAACAAATATAATACTTGTACTGCAAACTACCATAAATATAAAAAAGTTGGTTCGTATATCTCTTCTGAAATAAATATTTGGGAGATGATAATTGTTAATATAAGCTCAGTTTTATAGCTTCTGATGGCTTCAATTAAAACAGTTATCACTACAGTTACAGCTTTCCTGTAGGAAAATATGTGCTCATTCTTCATGAAAGCTGTGTGTTTTGTTAGTTCAACTTGTGAGCAAACTGATACTCAAGCAATCCATCTTCAACTGAAAAATACAAGAAAATATTAATAAATGCTTAATCCTGTTTGCAAACTGTATGGGAGGTATGAACTATTCCAAACAGGAGGAGAAATGTTTCAAATATCAAATACACATTTTACTATAGATAACCACAAAAATCAAAATGATTTATTTTTTATGTTATGAAACTGTTCCATTAGAACTAATTATTATAAACTTTGTGCTTGTGTTTGTTATTCTTCCTTACAATGGAACAAGATCTATAGCATACATACATTCACAGGAAATTTATAAAAGTTCTTATTTTATAACACATAAAAATGTTAAAATTATTTTCTGAACACCAAATTATCAGTTGGCACAAAATTAATTCAAAAGTAAGACATGTGTAAATAAAAGATGTTAGTTCATCAGATACACATTGTGTACAACACTGGACTCTGACTTGGGTGGAAAAAGATAAATGCTTTAAAATCTTCTGTTATACTTATCACAACTTTAATGTTGTCTGCATTTCTTACTAACACAGCCTTGCAAAACACATGTAGGGAAGGGATAGCAGAAAACTACAAAATTAAGAAAAAATACTTGGCAATGTATTTTCAAGTATTTCACATAAATTACAGACTACTGTATGACTTACATACATACCACTTTAAGCACTGTAGGTATAATCCATCTACATAAAATGTCCACATACCTGCTTCTAATGATTCACTAGCAACTGCTAAAAAATTAAAAGCTAAATGTAGAGACTTTATGAGATTACTATATCTCTTATTCCAAACCATGTACACAAAATGTTCACATACATGTCTCCAATTATTCATTAGGCATTGCTATCACATTAAAAGCTAAATGTAGATAGACTTTGTGGGACCACTATATCTCTTCTTTTACATTTTACCAAAAATTATTCTAAAAGCTACACATTTTCATACAAAATTTCAAAACCCTACATTAAGTGATACAGGTTTTACATCCAATTAAGGTGGAGTGGCCTGTAGTGGCATAATGTCCATGTCAAGTTTAATGAACAGTAGAATAAAAATTTTCTTGGATATTATCCATCATCTAGTAAAATAAAATATAAAACGATGTTTCGGAGATAGGGCTCTATCTCTGTCTTCAGATACCTACTCAGTTGGGCCCAATAGATAGAGCTAATCCCTATCTCCAGACAAAGTAGAAAGTGAAAGTCCCGGAATATAAGAAGATCACCACACCATCCATCCGTGGGACGTAAAATAATAAAATAGAAATAGTAGACACACAATTCGTTAAACATAAAAAAAAGCCAAAAGCCAAATAAAGACAAAGAC